AAAAAAAAAAAAAAAAAAATTGCGTCATAACTCAAACTTTGCGTTCATTTTTTTAACAGTTTGGTCCTTTAACTTCTATTAATTTGTAAAATAATCTTGGCATTTTTTAAAATTTCTCTTTATTTAGTAAAATAAAAAAAAATAATCTTAATTGAAAAAATGAGTTTTAGAAGTACTTAAATTTATCTTTTATCTTGTACTTTCATGAAAATTAGATAATATGATATTTAAAACAATGAATCTCGTATCTTATGTTTGTTCATAATATAGTAAATACACATGTTATTTTTATATTTTTCACAACAATAGTGTAAAATATTTAAAAAAAAAACTAATTTCATTAAAATTAGATTGTATAATATTTAATATATTTTAATATCATATTTATATATTAATTTTATATATTTCACAATTATAGTGTAAAATATACATATTAGCTATGGTATTTTTATTTAACAATAGAAAAAACAATAACATTAAATAACAACAACATTACTAATATAAACGAAATAAGATTAAACATGATAGATCACGATTTATATTAAAAAAAAAAATAAATAACTAGTGCTTAAAACAAAATACGATGTCACACAATACTAAAAATAAAAATACATCATAAACTCACAAACCAAAAACTAGCACGATAATTTAGAAAATCTACAAGTTGACACCGCTTCCTTCAAGATTATTGGCCAAATGTATTGACTGAAAATGATCCCATTGGGCAGTGACATATATAAAGGATAATTCACCCTTATTCCATATGTATATATTCGTTCCAAATGTAACATATATTCTCTCCGGTTCATTATATATGTCGTTTTAAGAAATTGAACGGTAATTAAGAATTTTTTTGTCAATAATAACTCTCTTTATTGAAGATAGAAATGAATGTTTTAGGAAAAAGATGAAGTCAAAATGACATTTATTTAGTTAATAGTTAATAAAGTCAAAATGACATTTAAAAAAAAAAAAAAATTGTGGAGTATAAAGGATAATGCAATATATATAAACTAATGGTGTGTGCAAAATGGAATATTTTGAAATCAATGAATTCCAAGATGAATTTTGATTCTTGTGCATGGATTTTGTTCATAAAAACACAGCGTTGTATCATATTTTTGTTGAGCACATCTTCTTATGCTCTTGGTGAGTGCCAAATATCAAATAAGCATTTCCCGTTTGAGAAAATGCTACAGTCCCGTTACGGAATCATCCCATCGAGAGTTATAACCAATGGATACACATATAGTTAGTATAAGATAAATGATCTAACGATTAAAACTCCAGACAAAATCACAAAATAATTTCATAACGGGACCATAACATTTCCCGTTTGGGAAAACATGAAACCTAGTTCGTATAACTTGTAAAATCCTCCAAACAATCAAAATAATTAATAAATATTAAATAATTAAATACCCACTTGTAGAGGGCATATATATATATGTTTAATAAATACTCAATAACGTTTTGCAATCTCAAGATAAGTTAGAAGTCAATCACTAGCAACAGATCAAGATTTTGACTTCTCAAATCACACACTATTGGGAATGGGAGTTTGTAACCTGCTAATGGCTTCCCTTTTTGCTCTCTCAGCTCTTTTCCAGTTCAACGACTCTGGTAATTTAAGCTTATTTTCACCAACTTTCTATATGATTTTCCCCTCTTATCCCTTAATTTTTTTGGCATTTTTTTTCTTCAGATTGGTATTTTTGGATTCCTCTGTATGCCATTGCTTGTGCAGTAAATTTGGTCAGCTGGGCCAAAAAACCCAATTCAAGAATGATAAGAACGGCCCAATTCGATCTGTGTCTTGGGATCTTTTTGTTTATGAAGGTCTCCATTGAAGGTTTTCTCGAGGGATCAAAATTTGCTGGGTTTTGGTCATTTGATATGAGGGAGAGAACTGTAAGGGAAAAATTTGGAAGTGGGCTTGTTATTAGCTCTATGTTTCTGTTCTTGCAAATCTCAAATACACGACCTACCCTGCTCACAAAATATGGTATTTATTGTTTTTCTTTTCGGGAGATTCTAGTGTCCCGTTACGGAATCATTCCGTCGGGGTTTGTAATCGTAAATCAACTGTCCACGACGGTCACGTCTCGACGGTTCCGTAATAAGACTGTAGCATTTCCCTTTTCTCCGAGTATTCTTTTATCTTTTAGTTTTTGTTTTCATTTTTTTGGAAAAATATAGAATGGTGCTTATGAGAATTAATCCTTTTTGGTTTCAATTGTGAACAGGGATGCCGATCTTGGTGGGTGTTGCATATGGCCTCAGCTTCATTTTCTTTGCATTTCAACACGGTGAAATGAAATATTGATGTAAACAATGGGAAATGGTACAGTACTGTTGCGGAACCAATCTGTTGGAATTTATAACCGTTAGATATCATGTAACCGTCGTGGATAGTTGACCTAACCAACGGTTACAAATCCCGACAGAATGATTCCGTAACGGGACCATAGAACCTCCCGTAAACAATCGTCACTTTATTTAAAGAAAAGATAATTATTTTTACCACGCTCTTAAGTTGTGTTAAGTTTTCCATAATATGTGTTAAGTTTTTTCACACCGCTAATTAATAAGTTAACTTTTTCATCATGCTAAATGTGAAACAAATTATGCGGCAGACAGACGAAAATAATTAATCAAATGCAAAATAATTATGCGATAGAGAAATGAAGTTAATTGAGCAAGTGCGGAATAGTTATGCGATTTAATATGTGACATAAGGACGGTAATAGATCTAATTATGCGACACACTATGTGATAGACATGTGAATTTAATAGAGCAGTTGCAAAACAATTATGTGTTAAACAATGCGACCCACAAACGAAAATAACTGCGAAATTGCGAATGATTATGCAATAAACTGTACGATATAAAAACACATTTATTTGAGCAAGTACGAAATAATTATGAGACATAAAAGCTAAGATAATAGTGCAAGTGCGATCTTATTATGCTATAAATTATGAGAAGGATAAGTGGCGTTAAAAAATGTCTTAATTCCAAATCGATCTCGCTATAATCGTATTAAAACTCGCCGTAAATCACTAACATACACCACACTTGTAAAGCCAACGCCTCGGTGGCCCCATTGGCGAAAAACAACGTCAACAAAATGGCACCGAAGGAAGGGTTCTGTCGTGCATCTGAATACCTCAATGATCACGGTGTCGTTCGGATCAACCCTCACCCTACACTCCTTACTTCATTTTAAGCCTGTATGGAAGGGCGACAACGTTGACCCTCCATATCAAACCCTTCTCTCCTTCAAATCCATGATCGAATGGATCGATCCTCCATATAATCTCCCTTTCTCCCGTTACTCCGTCCAAACATACACTCTCATATACTTTTTGCACGAAAAAACCCTACTTTTTACCCCGTTATAATGCCCGATTTAAAACTCAAAACCTTCTTTCAACACTTGTTAGTTCACCTTCAGCAAGAATGTCGGTAGGTTAGTTCACCCTCGGCAAGAACAATGTCTAGGACTGAATAACTGATCTGGTACTAACAAATTTATATTGTGCAACCTGAATGTATATCTACGGAGTCACTCACGATGGTTGCTTTACAGTTCTACCTTCAGATCGAGAACTTTCTCGATCCAGACTTCAACACATCTTTCGGTGCAGCCGCGATCTTATTCTTGATCATGATTGTCAAGATGCACCCCGAACCGCATCCATGACCAACCTCACCCAATGCCTTTTGAGCTTCGACGGTGAGATGTCGTACCCGGACACAAAACAACACCGGAGACAAACGGATCAGTGACTCCAGGAAACATCGGACCAAGGACCCTACAATATCTTGTACATGGCCAAACTAGTCATTATTATGAAATTAAAAGGTTGAATACACAAAGACCACACTCCCTTCCCCGATCTAAAAACATAAAAATAAAAGAAAATGTATGAAAAAGAGTGATCGGCAAAACATTCCCCACCGTACATGACCACACTATAGCTTCCTTGTGCATCGCACGGACAATATACTAGTCAATGTACAACACATGTAATGCATATGCAGAGTGCTAACAAAGAAATTTATGCATTAAAAATACCATCATTTATGATAATATAAAGAAAAAGAATATATATAACCATCTTTCAAAAATCTACACACCAATGCCCTCATCTCTTGGCCATATTGATGCACTACATGCAAGTAAGAGTCCAAAGATTGAGGAACATGGAAGGTAACAACAAGAACCAAGACAGTAAAGCCATGGCCGCCGCCACTTGATATCTCGTGCATAGGTTTTCCAAGCAAAAAGAGTCTCCCGAATCAAGCAAAAAATCCGTCACACTGGCGGCCGAGCAAGATGCAGCTAGCGACAAAATCGACACAACCTATGAGGAAATAATAGTTATCTTAAAATAACCCAAAACCATTATGCATATATAACCTTGATCAAGAAGAGTGCATTGCAACTTTTCATGATGTGATTTTTTATTTTTTTTTTTAGCATGGAGCGATCTAAGGTATTTTCTTTAATTACAATATTGAAAGTCCGGGCGATTAATTTATGTTATTTAAAATTGTAAGTGTATTGAGTCATGTAAAATGCACCCAATCTCCAATCACAACGAACGATAGCATCCCGGGCAGCTGAAATGAAGGTCTGATGTAAACCGATAAAACATCTGTCATAGCTAAGGTTAAGCTCCAAGGGATCACCAAGCCCATAGTTGTGACCAAGAAGCTGCAAGTCAATGTATAAAGGATGAGAATATTGAAAACACACACACAAAAAAAAAAAAAANNNAAAGGTCCAAATGAATCAAGAAAAATATATGTATGAAACAGAGGAAAATATTATGAAATTTGAGAATTACCAAAAGGCAGAGTAATTGTAGAAGCCAGTACTCATGCACACTGAGAGCAATGAAGCAAGAGCAAACATAGCCTGCCCAAATCTCAAGCCCAAGCTCCCCAATGTCCCCCAAAACCTTGAGATTTCCATTAAATCAACCACATGAAAAGCAAGAACTCTCACAGTTTTCGATCTTTCAAATTCTCGGGGAGTGCCATCTTTGTATGCTTAATTCCTGGTTTTTAGATCATTTAAAGCAGTAGTTGTTTAGATTTTGGGATTGAATGTAAAGTTTAAATTTTAGTAACTTTTTTTTGGAATTTGGTCTTCAATTCATACTATCTGATGCTGGTTGAGAGAATGAGATTCCATGTAATGTCAATAACTGAATGTTGTTAATTAGATAATTTTATTTACTTCACTTCTTCTATATTTAAATGTCCAGAAAAAATGAGAAATCTTATTATGTTGTGTTGTTTGAAATGCCATATTATCATGCAGTCAAAAGTGTGCATAATCCCAAATACAGAGTTAAGAGAAAAAGAGAAAAAAAAGCTAACAGAAATTATAATTTAGCCAAAGTGTAACTTTCTAAAGATATTCTTAGGGCATAGCACCTCATTCTAAAGATGAGCTAAGTTTTTCACGCCGCAAAACAATAAGTTAACTTTTTTAGCCCACAAATTGCAAAAAAAATTATACGATGAATTATACGAAAGACAGAAGGAGATAATTGATAGAATACGAAATATATATGCAATTAACTATGCGACAGACGAGCAGATATAATTGATAAAATGCGAAACAAATTATGCGATAAATTATGACATTCAATGATAATCGACGAAGTCATAAAAATTATGCGATAAACCATGCGACTAAAAGAAAAATAATGTTGATAATGTTCGAAAAAATGGAATAAACTATGCGTTAGACATGCGACGACAATCGAAACAAATTTATAAAGATAATTTATAAATTGCGAAACAAATTATGCGATGAACTATGCAACAGACAAGCCAAAATAATTGATAAAGTGAAGAACTTTTGCGACATACTATGTGACTGAAAGGCGAAGATAGTTGATAAAGTGGAAAACAAAATATGTGTAAACTATGGGACGCACAAACATAAATAATTAACCTATTGCGAATTATTGTGTGATAACTTATGCGACAGACATACAAAGATAATTAGACAAGTGCGAAATTATTTATGCGATAAACATGCGAAGATAATCGAGCATAATGCGAAATACATATGTGATAAACTATGAAAAAACAGTGCGAGTCAGTTTAAAAAGTGCAAAATAAATACGTGATGAACTAGCGACAGTCAAGCGAAGTTAATTGAGCAAATGTCTCTAAATCCTCTATTCGTAATGCTAAAAAAAAAATTACTGAACACAACTATATTGATTGGAAAATGAATTTGAACATTGTGCTTACTGTTGAGAGGTAGAAGTTTGTGGTATTTGAGACTTGTCTGGATGTGTCCAATGAGGGGTCAACGAACCAAGAGAATGAGGGGGCGAAATGGATGAAGACTGATGAGATGGCGAAGTGTTACATCTTGGCAGTTATCACAAATGTACTTCTAACATCAACATCAGTCTATGTCCTCCATTTTGGACATACTCTTCAATATCAAGAATTTGTTCAGCCACCAATCACGGGTTACCTGACATGAGGCTATGAGAGTGTTGATGAACACGCGCATGCGTAAGGGTACTCTCATGTGGGATCATCTTTCGATCAGTCTTTCTAAACTATAACATGAATAAGATGTTCTCTCTTTCGAATTACTCGCTGGACTCCAGTCGACGGAGGGCCTGTTTTGTCAGAACACTCAGGTGTTGGTCACTGAGCAGGCTGAGCCTTCTTCTTCTAGGCCCAATAAGGGTAAGAAAGAGAAGAAGTCTGCAAAAGAGACGATAATCAGGTGCCTATAGCTGTTGCGCAGTCAAATGGCAACAAATAAGCCGAAAGGCAAGTGCCACCGATAAAAGCGGAAGGGACAACGGAAGGTTAACTGCCATATCCTCAAGAAGGGCACTGAAGGTAAATTTCTTTCATTAGTCGTTGAAAAATGTTTAGCAGTATTATCTATAATTACTTGGTGCATAGATTGAACATATCTGCAATGAATTGTAGGGGTTCTAGGAAACCAGACTACTTATAGGAGAGGAGATTATCGTCTACAGGACAACGACGTAAAGGCAATAACTATCACAGTGGGAGACGTGTATCTATTCTTTGAAGTAGATAAGACTTTAGTTTTGAACAATTCTTAATGTTCTTAGTTTTAAAAATAATTGTTTCAATTTCTAAACTTGTTGCAAATGAGTTTTCTATATCATTCTATAATAAAGTTATTATTAGGTTTAGTAAGAAATTTATTTACTCTGCTATATGTTCTAAAACCAAAGTCTCTCGCATTGCAATACAAATAATTATTTAATTTGTAATCTAATTACCATGGTTATCAAAACCGAACCGGACCGACCAGTTCGACCAGTTGAACTGGGAACCGGTCTTCTCTCCAGTCCGGTTAGGGGCTTTAAACCGCTAGAAGGTATAACTAGTATAGAAGGTCCAAAACCGGTAAACCGGAAAACCCGGACCGATCAGAACGACCCAACAGTTCAAAAGCTCAACATGTTAATATCCAAAAGCACAAATTGAAAAGATTTTTTTTTTCTTTTTTTTTTCCCGAAACGATAGAGGTACTATTTGATATAGGATATTATCTGTATAAAGACGAGCCGATTTGGTGAGCCGGTCGAGAAGAGCAGACCGGAAGCGAACCAAGCCGAAAGGCGGGAATCCACGTGATCGAGCGGCCTAAGGCTCGACCACACAAGCGATCGAACAACCCGAGGCTTGACTGCACAGGTGATCGAGCAGCCCGATGCTCGATCAGACCGGTCGAGCTACCCGTTAATCGATCAGACCAGTGATCGAGCAAGCTGATCAACATAGGCCCAGACACGTGTATAGCAGACGCGCGTGAGGGTCTCTGACAGAGCTGCAGGAGAATATTTACCCCATGTGCCGGGTGGACACGTGTCGACAATGTATTGGGTGATAGCGATAACCACCTCTGACGACGCCCAAACGTCCCGCGGCACCTCTGACATGTGCGCGGCGTGTCAGAGTACGGACGGGCAGCTTGGGCAGCACACGTATCCTTATCCGGGCAGCTATTAGGGCAGGTATCTTACCCCTATAAAAAGGGGATGAGCCTTTCTTCCTTAACACGTTCTATTCATTCTCTAAATTCCAGTATACTCATACACATACTGACTTAAGCATCGGAGGCTCTTCACCGGATCCAACCCCCGGTGCGAGAGTTATTTGCAGG